GGCCCTGATATGTCACTAGACATTAAGAAATCATGTTCATTTCAAATACTTATATCACTGACAACAGTAGTCCGGCCAGGATATTGTCATTTAAAAAGTGAAGCTGATGTTGATGTTGTCATGTTGTGTTTTGGTGCTCCGCAGAATGTGTTTTTCTGATGCTCCGCCCTTCACCGATCTACCAATCACGGAGTCTGTAGTATTACAGCATCCGGGTTGCCAGCTCAGCTGTAGTTGCCACAGCTGCAGTTACAAACGTGCCGGATAAAAAAATGTTGCATCCTGCAGCCCATCTGGCAACCTCGAATCGGGGGTAGGGGACGGGGATACACCGCTCTACAGTAATTTGAAAGTGATTGCAGTACTAGTTTTGGCCACAATCTTACATACGGCTCCTTTAATTATATATAAATATTTTTAAAAAGTGACTCATTATGAATCACTGAAACATTGATTCGATTTCTGTTGTCGAAGCAAAAAAAAAAAAAACGAGGGTTACGTATGCAATTGTCGGTACGTTGAACATGACCGTCTGAACGGGAACTGGTGATATTGTGTTCAAAATATTTATTAAGTTATTCAATATTTCCTTAAAAGTTCTGAAAAGAAAAATGAAAAAATCTTTTCAAGTTCGAAGGTTTATAGGCCTTACGGATGGATGGAATAAAATGCACCCGTGAATTTATGCACTATAAGACCAAAAATTTAAATAGTAAATATAATTACTTGTAACGCCTTGAAAATGTGCCAAAATATGCGGCATGCAAAACCTCAGAGAATCTCATTCATCCGAGCCATTAGTAAAAGACTAAACCGCCCAAGTTACTTCTTCAGCAGACATCTAAAACTGTGCAGAGCTGTCTGAGTGTTTTAGCGATTGTACGCTGATGCTGATGTACCGATTTGATATGACACTATTTCAATATGGCAGTGAATCCCTGTGGAGATTTTGATGAGCCATACCCCAGAATCCTCCGTTTTTCATAAATTACTGTGATGTTTTTTTTGCTACTGAGATAAAACACAACAAAAATCTTTTGGTTTAAAAGTGTTCCTCACACACCCCGTCTTTGCATGCGAGAATTTTCATATCATAACTGCTTGCATATCATTACACAAGCGTGGTGTCTCTTTAATGCTACTGTGTTTAATGAAAGGCCTTTCTGATAGTGTAAAGAGCGCTCAGCCACAGCGGGGATCTCGGGAAAGAAATAATTACCTGAGATGAGTTTTTACACCCATGATGCCCTGATCTCGGTAAACACTTTGAGTACTAATACAGTGCCAACTTCAAAGCATGCTAATGACAGTTTTGCAAGTGCACAGAAATGTTTTCACTACCATTAGGGAGGCCAGAGTATGAAGCAAAATTGCATGTGAGCGTTTGATTATTTTGTAACAATGCTTGTCCAAGTAGAGGAGTGTATAATTTCTCTCTGATGTTGCAGTGTTTTTCGGCATTTATGCGATTATGTATTCATGCGCATACCTAATGACTCGTATCGCCCTCCTGAGTGGGTCTGTCTCAAGACATTTCAGAAAAGCCTGAGATGCACCTTCGTGCTGATACGCGCTACACACCCCCTCAAGTGCACAAATTGTGAGGTCTATTTTGCACAGAATCTGTAATTTACTGCAATGATTAATCATTTCATTTTAGCAAATTGCATTTTTTTTCCCAGCATTGTTTGTATGGTTGGGGATTCTTGAAATTGAACACTATGAATATTGCAACATTCTATTGGTGAAGATTTGCTCATATACAGAGTAAAAGATGTCCAGTCAGCATCTTTTCCTAATTAAAATTGTTAGCTAGTTGCCAAAGCTATAGTTAGGCTGGTCTTTTTTAATGGTTTTCAAGTGGTTTTGGTCATTTTTCAGCAGATTAGACTGGTACCAGATTTAACTGGTTAACTGACCACAGCGTACCAGTGTTCAAATTGGCTGAACCATGGCCATTTAGACCAGCTTTTTGTTCTGACCACCAAATAGCTAGTTTGAGACCTGTCTTAAAAGGATAGCCCACCCCAAAATGAGAATTCTGGCATAATTTACTCACACTCATGTCATTCCAAACCAGCATGACATTTCTTTTTTTATCTGTGGAAGAAAATGTTGCTAACCAAACAGTTTCAGGTTCCCATCCCCTTCCATTATATGGATGTCAATTGGAACCGAAACAAAAAAAAAAAAGACAATCATACAGGTTTGGAACGGCATGATGGTGCTGACAGTCTAAAATGGTAAAGTCTTAGCCGGTTTAAGCTAGCTGGATTCTCATCTTAGACCAGCTTGGAACAGCCATTATGACCATCTTTTAACCTTTTAAACCTGCTAAAACCATGTTTTTCTGCTGGTAATCTCCACAGCTGTTCACTGGGTCTCCTTTCACAGTCCAGATGCTGTCATTTTATACCCCTATCATTCTGCTGATTCGTTATCTGCTAGACCACAATGATGAATCTATGAGGCACCAGAAACAAGTTTATGATGTGTAACACACTTTACAATATGACATAACGCCATCAATTGGATCTCCTTTGTCCCAATAAAACGGCTATCACGATACATGTTTCAGCAGGGTAGAATTAGAGTCAGAGGAAGAGGACAGGAGAAGGGGTTTACTGCAAGGCTGGCAATAAAAAGCTGATCTTGTCAGCGTGGCCGGGCCCAGCGGAGCCGGGCGGCATGGAGGCAGGAAACTGGGATTAGATTAGCCTAGCTGCACACTGCAACATTACGTCCCTGAGACATATATCACAGAGCTTAATAAGGGCACATTAGCGGCAACGCGTTAAAACGCTCCCTCCTTTGGTTTCTGTCTCTCACCACATCACTAGCAGAGCCAGCAATCTCAATATGCAGATGTAAACATGCCAAGTTTATTGTGAAACGTGTGTCCAATTTATGTTTTACTACTCAAAATATGAGGCTATAAGCAGTTTCAGCATCCCTACTCTAAGCAATTTGATTGTATTAATCGAAAGCTATAAAAAGCAAGTATAAATGTGGGCTATGCTACAATATATATTACAGTATGTGCATTAAAGTTTTATTATACACTACCATTCAAAGGTCAGGGGTCACTTTGATTTTTTTTATGTTTTTGAAAGTATCTTATGCTCACCAAGGCTGCGTTAGTTTGGTAGAAAATAGAGCACAACAGAAATATTGTGAAATATTATTACGATTGAAAATAATTGATTTCTAGTTTAATATATTTTAAAATGTAATTTAATCCTGTGATGCACAGCTGAATTTTCAGCATCATTACTCCAGTCTTCAGTGTCACATGATCCTTCAGAAATCAATAGTCTTTTTTTTTCAGGATTCTTTGATGAATAGAAAGTTCAAAAGAACAGCATTCATTTTAAATGTATATGTTTCCATGTAAAAGCCGTCACTGTCACTTTTAATCAATTTATTGCATCCTTGTTGACTGAAAGATTTTTTTTAATTATTTTTGAACAGTAGTGTATTAACATTACATTGTAAAACACATTTTCAAGCACAGGATGCTTTAAATCACTAAATTTTAGATGATAAAATACGAAAAACACAAGAGCTATCAAACGATTAATCGCGATAATATATATTATATATAAATCTATATACAGTATATATATATATATAAATATATATGAAAATATTTCTTAATTATATACAAGCATGTGTGTGTGGATTTATATATATAAAATAATTATACACAGTGCACCCACATATATTATGTAAACACAAACTTTTATTTTGGATGCGATTAATCGTGATTAATCGTTTGACAGCCCTAAAAAACACAAACGAGAATACTTTGCAGTTACATGTTTTCTTTCAAACGTAAGAGACATTATACATGTATCCCATTACAGTTACAATATTTAATTGAAATATTTAAGTCATCATCATTATTGCATTGCTGTCCTGTTGGACTCTATTTGGATGCTGGCTTTCACATCAAGCTGACGGTGGGCTGTCGGACAGTTTTTGTTCGTCAGTCGCCTTAATTTTTTGGCTCTTTTCGGACACCGTCAGGGTTTTTTGGCAGATTCAGCATGTTGATTTGACATCAGGCTGTCTGTTAGAGAGAGAGAGAGAGAACTCTGATTGGAAGTTTCGATTTCCATTGTTGAATGGCGAAAATAGACTATTGATACCTTCTGACATAGAAGTGTACTTAAACACGCAGACACAGAACGCAGATGCTAGTTGACGGTCGTCTTTAGTCCTTTCAGTGTGTTTAAGCGCAGCCGACACAGCTGATGAGAGGGGTAACATAGTCGGGGTTCATCACCGCTGGTTCTTTGACGTCGGCTTGGTGTGTCCCAGGCTTAAAATTTGAATAATAATAAAACATCCTTAAAGGGATAGTTCACCCAAAAATTAAAATTAAGTCATTAATGACTCACCCCCATGCTGTGACTCACCCCCTTAAGATCTTCATTCATCTTCGGAACACAAATGAAGATATTTTTAATTAAATTTGAGAGGTGGATCACTACCACATAGGGGTTGGTGAGAGGTGGATCACCCTAAGGGGTTGGTGCAGCATGGGGGTGAGTAATTAATGACTTAATTTTCATTTTTTGGGTGAACTAACCCTTTAATGTCAATTGCAAAAATCGTTTACGAATTAATTTATAATAATTGAATTTTTCAAAATAATAAAAAAATGTAAAACTTGACATTTTACCTAATATTTTTGTATTTTATGCTTGTTTTGAGGGTCCATTGATGCCTTAGAAGGCAGCTGCTTATGTAGACTTTAGACAGCGAGGCAGCTCACTAGGTTCTGTAACAAAACTTCTTTGTTGAAACCCTGTGTACTGCGGTTTCGAAACTTTCCATGATATGGATAAACAAAGACGTTGCGGTTGAGTGACTCACTTGTTCTTTTGTTTCTGTCTTTTTTCCTCACCGTCCCTGTCTATCACATGCTCACGCTTCCACCCTTCCTCTGTCTTTCTCAATCTTTCTTTCCATCACGCATCGATCTCACGCTGCAGGCGACTCGCTTCTCAAACACAACGGGATGAAATTCACCACTAAGGACAAGGACAACGACCACTCCGAGAATAACTGTGCGTCCTTCTACCACGGCGCCTGGTGGTACCGCAACTGCCACACTTCCAACCTCAACGGACAGTACCTGCGCGGCCAGCACACCTCGTACGCCGACGGCATCGAGTGGTCGTCCTGGACGGGCTGGCAGTACTCACTGAAGTTCACCGAGATGAAGATCAGGCCCACCAAGGAGGAGAATAAATGAGCGAGAACTAGAAACCTTGACTAGAACAACTCAAAAGATGGCTGTAGGTGTTAGAGACACTCGGTGCAGAAACGCAACAACTTTATAGCAACAACCTCTTTCTCATGTTTCTGTTTCTATCCATCTTTCAATTCCCCGTTTTCCCACCATCTTGTAGTGTTCGTGCTAATGCCCAGTGGGCTGTTGTTTTTTCTCTCAATCTCTGAATATTATTATGAAGAAACATTGCAGGTATTGTCAAAAATGTACTAATGAAAAAAAAATCAGTAGTTGTTGTGTAAAAAAAAGAAAACAAAAAAACAAAATAAAAAAACTTCTGTAGCTGTGAAATTTAGAAAGAATGTGTAGCTTTTCATAAAAAATAAAGACTTTTAACTCTTCTCAAACATCCGACAGAGAGGCAGCTTGTCCTATGTTATTTTCATCCAGTGCTTAATCAATAACTCAGAGTTAAACATGACAAGGTTGCTATTTGTGTGTCCAGCCACCGCTGTAATATCTGGGAGGTAACTACTTTTCCCCACATGTCGAGTAAATACGTTATTGACCACCAGGGATGCTCAAAGAGAATATGTGTCACAGTGGTGGCTTTCAGAGTGATGGGCCAATACAAGCACATTTCTCATTCTTGACAGGCCAGTCGGTGCAAGGTTTATCAATGGAGAAGCTAAACGTTTCTCAGAAAACACAGTAACCCTCTGGCGTTACTACCAGTTAGCAGAGTGTTGGATTTTATCATATGCACAGTAGGTCGGGTTCACCTGAAATCCCAGTGAGATGGATTGATGGAGCTTAAGGCTTAATCTTGGAGGAGATCTGAGAAGTGAACTTGGGTTGAACTGCTTTTATTGTTGTGAACAGACTGACTCTTCTGTTTTTAATGTCAGATCATCACCTGGAGATTGTTTCAGTAGCTTATTCGGTAGCTCATCACCAATATATTCTCATGCATTCATTTAATGTCATTTCTTTGCGATAAATTGGGAAATTTCTGAAATAAAAAGGAATAGTTTACCCTAAATGGGTCTAAATTTCATTTTAAAGCACACATATTTTATTTTATTGTAGCAAGTAATGCTTTGAGATAGCTTGATTTGCTTTGGAGGCTCCTAAAAGTGTAAAATGGAATTAGCAACAGTTCAATAGATTTTCGGTGACTCTTTCTGCACGTCATACGGTTATGCCAGTTGGTGGGGGCAAATTACTCACTGTAAAAAATATTGTTGGTTTAACTTAAAAAAATTGCCTTAAAATTTTAAGTTCATTGAAATGGAAAAATTGAGTTAATACAATGAAGGAGATTGATTTAATCATCAGAAACTCAAAGTATTATGTTATCTGAGCTATATAGATTATTTAAGTTGATTTGACAAAAGAAAAAATGTTGTGATTACAAATTATGAAAATATTTTTTACAGTGCTCTTTAATTCAAGTGAGTAATGGATCATCGAATGTTCAAATACACGGATTCATTCAAAAATGAATTGTTGAATCATTTACTCAACCACTTGCTGATTCATACAAGAACGGATCAAGCGAATCTTTTTGAGTGAATCACTGAGTCATTCACTCATCTGATCAGTTCAAAATAATACTTGCCGCTGTTGCTAGGAATTGTGCAACGGCTCTGTTTTGATTTCATTTGGACCTGTTTTCATTTGTGAAACAAAAAGTATTTGGCAATACTGTCAAAAATGCAATTTACTCTCTCTTGTTTATTGAACTGTTGTATAAAATCATGAGGGTGAGTAACTGATTGAACTGGGGTGAACTAATGTTGCTTCTCTTTGTATTTGTTTGCTTTTTTGTCTATGCAGACTTGACTCACTAACTTTCTCTTTTCTATTGAATTGATGGCACTTTAATAATTTATGGCAATTTAATAATGAGCATATGTTCCCTTTCCAAACCATAAACTTGCAATGTCCTTTTACTTTCGTTGTTATGAGTGTTTGTATTAGTTTTGATAACACAATATTGAATCATGCAATGTCCATGTTAACTAAGATGACCCTGTGTTTAGAATGTGAAAGTCGGTTTCATAACTTTATTTGTATCTTCATATTTGATGTGATTGTACATTGGTTATCCTGTCAAAGATGAACATTGTCTGCACTTTAAACAACAACATCAAAACAGTCATTTCTGTTTCGAAATGTTTTACAATCACTTTTATATCTATATTGGATGGAAATCAAAGAAATAGTTTTATGAACTTATCCCTCAGAGTATTTTAAGAATGCGAAGCATTTCAATATCAGCCTGCTTTATTGATCAAATGTTTATCTATGCTCAAATGGCTAACCCATGGTATATACTGCAATGCCAACCCCTACTGAAAAAGCAATTCACCAACGTCAAAGGAACTCAAAAGCAAACAGCTGTCACAGCCCAACCAAACTGATGCGTTTTGATCAAGTTTGTGACACGTTCTCGCTCAATAAAGAGAACTGCAGGCATTTCTGTGAGGTGAAATTGTTTAAGATGAACGCCGCTATGCAGATTGACTTACACGGTCAATTCCCTCTGGAAACTGTAGGAGGGATTTCTATGCTCCAGCTGTCCTAGCATGCACATTCAAAATGCAGTGAAAACGCCAATAAAATACATCCCCGCACCTCATCATGCCATGTTTTTCTTGCTCTCCACAGGTATATTCAAATAAATTTGATGTTGAAATGTGGTCTGCAATGACAGAGAGTTCGGTTTTGTTGCGCTTAAGGACAGCTACAGCTTTGGGGGAAATACAAATTCTCAGTTCGTGACCCCTAGTTGCTCTCTGTGAACTTGGTGGAACTCAGGAACCCCTGCTGATGGCCTCTCAAACTACAGCCTTGCTGATAGCGCTTGCCAGTCACCCATGTAAATAATTTAACCGTGAAATTGAGCATGTCTTGCAGTATAACAACACCCCAGGATGACAAGAGGACGTTTTATTTTCCATTCCTTGCACACCTTGCCCTTCCTAACATCCCCCAAACCTTCAAACCCATCATTTGTGACCAGCTATGAAAGCGAACGCAGGTCTACCATATACAATTAAACAATTGGTACGCCCTGCTATGAATTACAATGGACTTTTTGACATTTTTTACGGTCTTGTATTAGCAGTTTCTTGTCGTTGTTGATCATTAAAATGTGTTTCATGTTCACAGTGACATTTAATAAACATCCACAGTTTCTAACACACCTGCTTTCGGTGTGACTGAAGCATTTCCTGCGACGGAAAAAGAAAACGAATTCATCCTTAGCAGTTTGGGAGTGAATGTCAGCTGAGGTCAGCTCATTAGCTGGTAATTGACTAGGCCAATAATAAATCCTTAGGTAAAGCTTTTTTTAATGTGAATATTGTGACGCATCGCATTTGCCTTGCTTTTAAATATTTGCAAGAGTGCCAATCTCAGGCCCAGATAGCATAATGAGGCTTTCAGCTGATGAATGTTTCAGGAATGTCGTGAAAATGCATGACATTAAATGGCGGAAAGGAGAGATTTCACCTTTTAATGGGACTCTACTAGAGTACGGAAAGGAAAATGGTTAATATTCAGCAATCATGCAACATTCATTTTCATAAGGCCACAGCAATTTTTATTTGATTTCCAATATAACTGTTACCTGACGTATATGACTGGATATAAATCTGAAAAACTGTTTTTTAGGAGTTTTAAGACCCATCACTTTTTCTTGTTTGTACCATGTTTATATGCTTGGTAAACTATTAACATAGTATGAAAGTAAGTGGCTCTAAAATGTCTGTATCCACCAAGGATAACATTCTATTTTGGATTTCCACCTCGGAAATATTAAAGTGGGGGTTGATTGCGATTTCACTTTTTTTATTTTAAATAGTGTGTAATGTTGCTGTTGGTGCTTGAACAGTATCTGCAAAGTTGCAGCGCTGAAAGTTCAATGTAAGCAGAGATATTGTCTTTTAAAAATCAGGAAGTGTAATGCCTACAAAAACAACTTGCATTAACCCTCCCTCTGGAATATGCAAAAAAGGGCATGGCCATATTTCTGTGACTCATGGAAAGTGTGTTATGTTTACCCAGCTGTCAGGTCTTCTGTGTTTGGGCTTCCCACGGACGTTGTAGTTCGTCAACAATTCATTATGTTCCTGAAAATTACAATCATAATTTAGCTCTCTGTGCTGCGCATTTTACGGAAAACGGCTTCCAGAATCTCCACGAATTCAACACCGGATTCAACAAGAAACTGTTACTAAAACATGAAGCAGTTCCAACTTTAAAACCAGAGGCAGCAGTTTTTTTTATTATTTTTATTTTATTTTTTTTATTTATTTACATGGTCAATGCACATTAATAAACAAGTGTAAACGTGCCAGAATTAGCCCAAGAGGCTATTTTTCATCCGTAGACCCTTGACAGAATGTTACAGTCACCCTAAAAACAGAGACAGAGCATCACACATATACAAAAAAAAATAAAAAAATAAAAAAATAATTATAGCCACTTAGTTATGCTATTTCGTGTCTACGACAAACACGTACAAACATTTTGGACCTGAATTTGTATATGTACTAATTTTATAAATGTATTTTTTATGTTTATATTCTTTATGACGTTATTTTTCAATTTGATCAAGAACATAAACCAATGCCAACGCTGTTTGTGTTTATAGTAGCCAGCCAGTCAGTTCGATGCTATTGTGTAAAACAAACGTATATAAAGTAAAAAAAATAAAATAAAAAAATAGGCAAAATACCATTCAGAAACGTTTTGTAAGAGCCGTGTTTATGGGGGTTCTGCTTGACTCTCTTCATTGCCGCTTTCTGGGTCTGATTCATACTGATACTGCAGTATCGACACCATTATGTACATTTGACAGGAACACATATGCAACTTTTGCCCGTAAAGGTAATGGGCGTGAAGTATCCGGACAACGTGAGTGACAGTTTAGCCAATTACAACACACCGGCCCAAACTAACCAATCTGAGCCCACTGCCTGTTTCTGAGGGAGTGGTTTCATAGACTCAACCGGTCGTTCAAATGACAGAGAAGAAAGCGGCTTACAATAAAGGTGAAATTTATGAAAAATAAGACTTTTAAAAAAAGAAAAAACACAAATACATGTTATATTGCACCCCATAAATACAATCATGCAAAGAAAAAAGCAGTCAACCACCCCTTTAACCTTATAGATTCAAATTTGTAATAGTCACTGCTTAAAATTGTTAAAGTTGACAATTAAAATTGTCAAGTCACTGCTTAAAATTTATTTCTTAAAATTGACACCTAGAAAGTGACATGACCCTATTATATTTATTTAGTGCGTTCTTAGTCCAAGTTAAACAATTTAATAATATTTTTTTGAAAAGGTTACTAGCTCTACAAAGGGACACTTCACATCTATTTATATTTAAATGGTAGAGAGTCTGCCAATACCCCCTTTTTAAAAAAAGCAGCACTAAAAAAATCCAATATGCGAAGCTTTCAGATTGTTTTCCTTGATCTCATTTATTCTTTTAATTTGTTCTAAATTGTTAATATTCTTTAAGATCTAAATAAGTTCAGGGTTGGTAAGATATTAGGCTGCATTTATTTGAACAATAATATGAAAAAAAAACAGCAATATTGTGAAATATTGTTACTAATTAAAATAGGTGTTTCCAATTTTAATACAAGTAATTTACTCCAGTCGTCAGTGTTACATTCTCCTTCATAAAATCATTTTAATGCTGATTTGGTGCACAATAAACATTTCTTATTATTATCAATGTGTAATATTGATTGATCAATTTGATGCATCCTTGCTAAATAAAAGTATCATTTGCCATAAAATAATCTTACTGATGATCTACTATATTCTTGTTTTGTGAGATTCACTCATATGTGGTGAAAGTTTGTTAGAGAATGACTCTGCAGGTCTAGATTCCAAGAACAGTTGCAGTATCTGTCTTGAATGATGTGCATCTACTCAGCAGAATCTCAAAATCAAAACCAAGTGAATGATGCATCAGAAGCGAGAGGCATACTGATGTAACACTTCAGATATTCACCACTCAGCAAGCCATAAACACATCTGGCTTCTTATCTCCTTCCTCCAATATCCTTAACACCCATACTTGTCTTCCACCCAGACAGATTTACAGAAAATGCAGCCCTAAACTTCGCCTCTCTGCTTACAGCACACTAGACGTTGTCGTTTGGGGCCTCCCAAACAGCCAGATCGATAATGCCCATCGCATTTTAAGCTTTTGCATCATGAGGTTTCTGTATTATTGGATTGCATCTTCTCACGGTGATTCATGAGGGTACAAACATCTTCTTTTTCAAGGAAACCTCTCGGGCCCCTCACCAGCCACCTGCTGCAGTCATTTTGATGCACTGGTCCCTCATGTGATTGCTGTTTAATGAAAAACAGGCCTGCATAGCCCTGCTCTCCTATTACAGAGTAATTGATTTGAGGTGAGGAATGTCCCTTGTAGAGGTGAATAGTTTCACCCAAGTCATTAATCCCCTCAACCAGATATTGAAACCCCCCAACCACCCTCTTTAGCAAAAATGATCCCCCTTGCTCTCCTTCCCTCACTCTCTTATCGTCTAATCTGCTGTCAGTATGTCTGTTAAGTATGTATGTGCCATCTAATAGCGTTTCACAGACAATTATTCACTATTTATCAGCAATCATCTGCAGCTGTCATGAAGTTCATTTAGCCGTTTAACTTAGTGCATCACAGGTTGAAGTGAAAAAAAAAATTGTAACCCGCTGTGTGACTCGTTGTCATGTCAGTCGACGTGATATGCAGATTTGTTATGACTTTTTTTTTTTGCATGTCATATTGTAACAAGAGCATGCTATAAAAGTGGGAGATTCCTTTCTGAGTAGAAAGTAAATAAGGTCTTCTGAGGGTTTTTCCACTCTATCTTAAAAAGAAATGCTGCTCGATTAACGTGATCAATAATCTTCAGGCTATTTGCATAGTCAAATATTCCAAGCGTGAAGGTCAGAGATGAAACATGACAAGTTCTACAGAGCATAAATGACATGGAAAATGTCTCACTGCATGAGTTAATCACAGGCACAGCTCCACGTTTTGGTCAAAATCTCATTAAGGATTACTTCATCTTCATTTCACAAACTGAAATAACAGCAGATGATAAAAAAAAAAACTGGTGTGCACAAAGGCTTGATTTTATTTAAAGGGATACTCCACTTTTTTGGGAAATAGGCTCATTTTACCACTCCCCCAGAGTTAAACAGTTGGGTTTTACCGTTTTCGAATGTATTCAGCCAATATATATATATATATATATATATATATAGAAGAATATCAGTAACCAGACAGTTTCTGGTCTCATTGACTTCCTAGTATATTTTTTCTACTATGGAAGTCAATGAGACCAGAAACTGTCTGGTTACTGATATTCTTCTAAATATCAGAAAATCAGCTGAATGGATTTGAAAACGGTAAAACTCAACTGTTTAACTCCTGGAAGAGTGGTAAAATGAGCCTATATAAAAAAAAGTGGAGTATCCCTTTAATGGAGTAGTGGTGTAGCTTATAGAAATTATGCTACTCCTTTATAATATTATTGCTATAATAATAATCATTATTGCTATTATTTATCATTAAGAATTATAAGTATTATTGTGTAGCCTTATATACATTAAATGAGGCAAAGGACGCTTTGCAAAGCATAATGAACAAAACAGAGCATGGTACCGTACGTCACGTCACTCTTGAATTATTGCTTACATATTCTCTCGCTCTCTTTCTATTTCTCTCTCTCTGTCTTTTTATGGCTCTAGATTTTATGACGTGAATACAGTAGCTACGTCCGAATCCAACGTGCCATTTATAATTAACAAACATGGGTGAACAGTAAAAACGTGTCCACCACATTGGAACCGCAGGTAGTTTTTCAGATGGGGACTTTCCATTTTGACGGATGTGACGGTGAACTGAGGCCAAGTTCTGAGAAAAAGAGAGGTTGTATCTCACATCTAGTGAACTGCCTACCTACCTAGCTAGCCAGCACTTTTCGGACAGGTCTCTTTCTTTTACTGTCTATGGTCTCGATCGATGCAGAGTTCTGTTCATTCTGAGATTTAGATTCAGTCCGATTCGTGAACGCACAGACTGGTTTTGAAAATCGGTTCAGTTGATTCATTGCAAATTTCACTTTCATTCACTTTCAGTTCGTGAATAATTATGACTTCAGCCTTTTTAGCTTCTCTATCCCACAGGTTATATTTAGCCTATGTGTAAAAAAAAAAAAAACTATTTAACTCAAAAATATCAACGTGTTCACTTTTTGAACAGAACGCGCGTTGTAAATGAACTCTCTGTAGGCGGGGTCAAGAAAACAAGTGAGCTTAACCTAGACAGCACTTCTGCATTTGGTTTTAGTATGCACACTAGGCTTTTAGGAGACAGCCAGTGTTTGTGTTTACATGCGGTTTTATCACTTTTACTCATAATTTAGCTATAAGTCCACACTCTTTTTCTTTGTCTTCTTATTTTGTAGCCTTTTCAGTTTATTATCAGCAAAATCCGATAACAATGTGCCTGATAAGTGGGCGGAAAAACAGCGCAATAATATTTCCGGGTGTTTGGAAGTGGGGAACCCCATGGTGTTTTTCTACCGTGGGTACATAACTAAAACGTCAAAACCATATCAATGCTATCATAACGTGCTGTTGGCACAGACATTTCATTGAAAAGCTCAATGGCTTCTGGATTAGCAGCTTCAGACCCGTCGTTAAACGGGATTTCGTCCACACCTGGTGAGAACGAGTACCCGTCGGGTTTTCCTCAGAGCATCTGCGACGAGGTCCCCAAAGAGAAGTACTTGTGCAGCAACTGTAATAATGTCTTGAATAAAGCGCGTCAAACGGTGTGTGGTCACCGCTACTGCCTCGCCTGCGTCAACTGGCTGGTCAGGTAAGAGAATCGTTCAAGCAGAAAAGCGAGAGTTTCATGACGACACACTGTCACACACAAGACATGGCTCGCATGGCCACCGGTTTCATTTTCGGTTTTGAAAGTAATTGTATGTTATGGTAATAATTATGGCTTATAATCAATCACTGGCGACGACTAACTTTCCAAAAGGGTATAATTAATACCTTTAGAAAATATGTGCCTTGCCATATAGTCTATGTTTGTGAAAAATTCAGAGCTGTGATGGTTGGGTTTAGGGGTAGGGTTAGCGTAAGCCAGGGGATAGAATATACAGTTTGTACAGCTTAAAAAAATAATTATTTCTTTGGAAAAATATGTGTGAGACATAAAGAACTTAGCTATTTTATAAAGTGATAAAATAAACTGTAAATTGTTTGGATGAGTGTGCTAAATGACTTAAATGTAGCCTAAATGTCATTAATAGATGCTTCAATTTCATACAGAAACAACAAGGACCTTGTGTGCACAAAGTGTAAAGAAGAAGATCCCAGTGTTGAGAGTGACACTAGTGAACTACTGACTCTTGACCAAGTAAGCCAACATTTTTAATCTATATATGTCTGTCTGTCTATCTATAGTCTTAGGTGATTTATGTCTTCACACAAATGTAACAGCGAATGTGTTTACGTTCACATTTCTAATGAAGGCTACAAGTGGTGTTAGTTAGACAATGGAAGAATCATGACTCATTTTTTGGAAAGTTATCATAATTTCCCCTCTGCAGTTCTTCAATGATGCGGCTATCAATAAAGAAATTTTGGATCTGAAAGTTCATTGTGCTAACCAAGGCTGCCCCTGGAGAAGCACCCTGAAGAACTTTGAGGTACTTTTCTGTTTTTGTTATAGAAATTCAGTTCATTTATCTCGCTATGATACTAATTCATGATAAAGATTATAGAAACTCTTATTGTACATATGCATGCTTGGTCAAGTTGGTCGTATATGAATCTTTAATGCACTTTACAGTCTGTAATCAGGTCAACGATCAAGGCTTTATTCAATTTATGAGATTTTCTTCTAAACGATGTATTAATTTATAACATATGAAATGCTTTTTTGAGCTTCTCAGGTCCTGATGTGATCTGATCATGCTTCTAAAGGAACTTCCCGAGCCGTCTAGCGCTTTCCACTGCACTTTAGATTAGAACATCGAGTTAATTTATGTAAGACCAGAGATCAAGGCTGTTCACGGGCTGGTACACATTCATGTAAAATTTGCAAAGATGCCAGGAACACTGTAATGCTCTTAAATGGCTTTTACACTTGGCTGAGTCAAAATCAATGTAGATTATGGGGCTTTTATTGATCACATTAGCGACTTCTGATATCACATTAAATCATAGCAACTTGTTGAAACCAAGCATGCCGTACAAGCCCTGAAAAGTGAAGCCAAAACGATCGGCCCCCGGTGGCTGGTCCTAGTATAGGTCGTAAACCCCACCTCCCCATGTTATTCAACAAGCTGATGTAATTTCCAGTGTTTGTTTTTAAAAATAAGTTTGTTTTTAATTAGTTATTTGATGCGGTGGTGGTGACATCATGATTGACAGCTGTGATTGACTGGTTCTCTGAGCAAAGTAATCACTTAAGCAAAACTTTTTCGGGATCTTCGAAGGACTGAGGAGATTGGAGCTTTAATATCTAAATTTCTATAATTAAAAAAAAAGTGATGGAGCTTTTGCTTGCTAATGATTCCGCAAGAATGAGGGCGGGGCCTTGATTTTGCTCACAACTGTGCAGGTCTGGTCCCGACATCGCTACTGCGCAGACTCAAGTTCCAAGATGTCAGCGCCATATTGGGACACTCGCGGCTTCGCTTCTGACCAATGGAAAAGAGCGAAGGGTGTCTTCCATCTTTTTTTACAGTCTATGGTTGAAACTAGTTGGCAGGCAGTCATACTTTGTTACAACCACAAGATGCTATTTTTCTGGAATCCTAGCATGGTAGCTTTGTGGTCATTTCATAACATGAACCAGCCATTAAGTCATTAATCATAAATACGGTGTTTGACCCCCTTTCGCCCCCAGAACTGCCTTACTTCTACGTGGCATTGATTCAACAAGGTGCTGAAAGCATTCTTTAGAAATGTTGGCCCATATTGATAGGATAGCATCTTGCAGTTGATGGAGATTTCTGGGATGCACATCCAGGACACGAAGCTCCCGTTCCAGCACATCCCAAAGACGCTCTATTGGGTTGAGATCTGGTGACTGTGGGGGCCATTTTAGTACAGTGAACTCATTGTCATGTTTAAGAAACCAATTTGAAATGATTCAAGCTTTATGACATGGTGCATTATCCTGCTGGAAGTAGCCATCAGAGGACATGGTGAACATTAAGGGATGGACATGGTCTGAAACAATGCTCAGGTTGGCCGTGGCATTTAAACAATGCCCAATTGGCACTAAGGGGCCTAAAGTGTGCCAAGAAAACATCCCCGACACCATCACACCACCACCACCAGCTTGCACAGTGGTAACAAGGCATGATGGATCCATGTTCTCATTCTGTTTACGCCAAATTCTGACTCTACCATCTGAATGTCTCAACAGAAATCAGACCAGGCAACATTTATCCAGTCTGCAACTGTCCAATTTTGGGGAGCTCTTTCAAATTGTAGCCTCTTTTTCCTATTTGTAGTGGAGATGAGTGGTACCCGGTGGGGTCTTCTGCTGTTGTAGCCCATCCGCCTCAAGGTTGTGCGTGTTGTGGCTTCACAAATGCTTTGCTGCATACCTCGGTTGTAACGAGTGGTTATTTTACTCAAAGTTGCTCTTCTATCAGCTTGAATCAGTCGGCCCATTCTCCTCTGACCTCTCGCATCAACAAGGCATTTTCGCCCACAGGACTGCCGCATACTGGATGTTTTTCCCTTTTCACACCATTCTTTGTAAACCCTAGAAATGGTTGTGTGTGAAAATCCCAGTAACGGAGCAGATTGTGAAATACTCAGACCAGCCCGTCTGGCACCAACAACCATGCCACGCTCAAAATTGCTTAAATCACCTTTCTTTCCCATTCTGACATTCAGTTTGGAGTTCAGGAGATTGTCTTGACCAGGACCACCCCCCTAAATGCATTGAAGCAACTGCCATGTGATTGGTTGATTAGATAATTGCATTAATGAGAAATTGAACAGGTGTTTCTAATAATCCTTTAGGTGAGTGTACAGTAGCTGTTATGCAGATGTTGTCCAGTATAGTGAATCAATCCTCAGTCTGATAGAATAATAATAAACTCATACTTTAGGTTTTGAAAAGCGTCGTGTGCAACTTTTAGAGGTCAGTGTTTTGTCGTGTAGAGACCTGTAGAAATTTCAATGACTTCAACCGTCATAGCTGCCTAATGGAAGCCTTTTGTGTTTCTACCTTTTTTTTTTGTACTCAAGAGATTCTAAAAGCCTTTTGAGAATATCATTGTTCACAAGCTCCCTATTAGAATAGAAACATGTAGGTTTTGCTTTTTAGAGGTTATGGTTGTAGAGGTTCATTAAGTGTATGGGAATAAAGTAGCGTAATCTAATTTGTAGTAATCATAATTGCTTATTGGAATAGTTCTCTAAAATATGAAAATTCTGCCATTTACTCCCCCTCTGTACGCTGTTATTATGTTTTCTGCAGTAGAAAATAAACTTGGATGTTTTGAAGAATCTTCAAGCTTTTTTTCATATAGCGACAAGTTGTTGTAACCACCAAGCTGTAAAACTGGCAAAAACGCCATTACTGAAACATAAAAAATAACATATGCAAGGCTAAAGACGAACAATAACTGTGTGGGGAACAGACCAAAAATTATTCACTAAAATTTAAATGGCATGTTTCTCAGAGTGGTGCTTTTACGGTTTTATTGTGTGTGTGTGTTTTATAGAAATATTCTTTATGAACTGTCATTGTATTCAAAAGAGCAGCATGACGATTTTTGGATGAATAATTTTCAAAGAAAAAAGCATATATGTTCACAATAAATTCAATAAATGTTCACATTTTAGTTGAATTATCTCTTTAAAATGCTCAATTACTCTTTTAACAGGACCATCAGAGTCAATGTGAGTATGCTCTGATCCCTTGCAATATTGGCTGTGGCATAATGGTGCAGAGGAAGACACTGGCCACGCATCTGGAGAGGGGCTGTCCCAACAATAAGACAACATGTTCCTCTTGTGCTGGTGTCCTGACACCGAGGGAACTCCAGGTAAGCTTAGAAAATGATCATTGGGACTGTATACATTCCACAAATATAGATCAAGTTTATCTACAGTGAAAATTTGTTATATATGTGTTTATATTCTTAGAATAAGATAATTGTATTATATTAAGAATTAAGGCAATAGTTTTTATTTTACTGCTTTATTGTTTTAAGCATCAACCTTGCTATAATTGGTTAGATTTATGCCTAAAATTAGAGGGAAAAAAGTTCCTAAAAGAACATGGTGATTTGAAAAAAATTGAGAAATTTGAAACAAATATATGTTTCAGTGCTTTTCTCAGGGTAACGCAAAACTTTTGCGAGAAAATGTGAAGTTTCTCAGGGGAATTCAAGCTTCGCAAACAAATGCAATGTTTCTCAGGGTAATGCAAACATTTAGCGAACGAACGCAATGTTTGCAAATGTTTTGAAATATTTGCAAATGTTGAGAATGCAATTGTTTTGAAATGCAAATGTAGAGAATGCAAATGTTTTGATTTTGAACCATTTTTTCCACCACCTTGCCACTTTAGGGGATGTGTTAAAAAGTTTTGCAAGCTAACACAAAGTTTCTCAGGGAATGCAACATTTTTTCAAACTAACACAAACTCGGTGAAACGCAAAAGGTTTGCAAGTGACTGCAAACATTTTGAAATATATATATTTTTTGTCCCATCTCATATTTTTAGTGGATTTAGTGGATCCGTGAAAAAAAGTTTTGCAAGCTAACACAAATTTTCTCAGGGCTGCACAAATGGTTTTCAGGCGAATGCAAAGTTTATTAGGGAATGCAAAAGTTTTGTGAGTGAATTCAAAAGTTTTGAAATATATTTTTTATTTTCCCCCATCACCATGTCACTTCAGGAGCTCTGTATAATCTTGTTTTAACAATACTTGGATATTTAATTATGGAAATATATATATATATATATATATATATATATATTTACACATAAAGAAAATATTTGATATAGAGTCTGTCTCCACTTTTTGCATTACTTAAACCTACTGAAATATACAGTATATATTTGTGGAAATAATATGTATGACTCATAGGCGATTTTGTGCAAGAATGCCCAAAGTACAAGATATTCTTCCTCGTCCATTGTTGCTAGAGTGGTTTTGAGACAGCGTGCCCTTGCTTGAAGCCCCATGGCTCGGTTTTAAGCCACAGACTGAGTCTCCAGTGTTTACTGCTGTCCCATATTACTGTGGGGGGGTTTTCTATTTCTATTTTGCCCATCGGAACCTGCTCTCAGGGACAGATTAAAGGAATAAAAAGGAGAGGGAAAAAAGCAGAAAGCCAGTGAATTTAGACATGAAGCTTCAAGCACAACACATTAGTCAAGATATCTTCAAATGCAATGTGTTTCTCGCCTCAAATTAAGATAAAGTCTTTATAAGATGTTTTGGAAAGTTTGTGGGACTTGTTTGTAAACTTTCGTCACTGTAGCTAGTGAAAGTGACTTTCCTAATTTCTTCACAGAAGCATGTATGTCCCAGTTCAAGCGATAAGAAGGCGACTAAGGCGGATAAACGGCAAAAGGTATAGAACAGCTGGCTTTGGTGGATATCTGAATATTGTGAAATTGCATGTACAATTCTAAAATATATTTCTGTTTTCTTTTGTAGAATAATCACTCGGGCAGCTCGAAAAAGAAAGAGCCATGCATTTTCTCAGAAGTTGGTTGTTCTTTTAAGGTTGGTCTTTTAATAACAGTTCCTGTTTATATGTTAATTAAGATGCTCAAAATGATGAAAATTGTCCAAATGTGGTCTATGGACCCCCAGGGGCCAAGGGGGTTCTATGAGGTCCACAAAGAGCTTGAGTGAATTTTTTTTTTTTATAATTTATTATTATTTTTATTTTGCCAAAAAAAAAAATGTTCAGTTGGGTTGTAAGGCTATTTGGAACAATAATTATTGTGAAAAGTACTTTTTAAAATACATTTTTAATTGACCCTCTAATATGAGCAAAAATAGAGAAAACTAATATTTTGCATAAATATTAGTATCAGAATATATAATATAATATCAGGATATGCTGTAAATGTACAGTAAGTGGATTATTATATTAGGGGATTCAATCATGGAAGTAAAAAATTTGAAAAGTATTTTTTTTGTATGAGTTTTGTTAAATTTATGTTTAAAAAAAATGACCATGGTGTAACAAACAATAAATACATCTAAATTAATATATGCTTTGAAAACAGGCCTATTCTCTAAAAACAATTTAACTGTCAATTTTACTTCCTGACGAAAATCTTTTTTTATGATTATATTTTTTATATATTAGTGTTTGTGTGTGGAGGAAGTATATAGTGGTGGAATGATTCAATGTTTTGCTGAAACGCTTTATTGCAGGGATTTGCAGACAAAGTAAAAGAACATGAGTCTTGCAGCCATGTGGGCCATCTACAGCTCCTCTTGGATGTGACCAGGGCTCTTCAGCGTACCTTGAGTTCCCCCGCTGAGCGTGGCCAACGCGAAATCCTTGATTTTCTTCAGCCTGAACATTGTGCATCCCTCGCTTCTCTGAGTGAGGGTGAGATTGAGACCGACGGAGGAGATCCAGGAGTGAGTGATAAGGCCTTCAGCCTCCACGATGATCAGGTTGAACTCGCTGTTGGCCAGCAACTGGACGCCATACAGCAGAGAGTGCAGGTTATGGAGAACATCATCTCAGTTTTGAACAGGGAGGTGGAGAAGACGCAGCTCAGTGTTGTTGCACTGGAGAGGGACAATGCCAACAATCAGCAGATCATTGAGCACTTGGAAAACAAAGTAAGTATTTAAAAAGTTATTTTTCATGACACTGATTGTATAGACATTTTTATCTTTAAACGGACTTAAATGGTTCTAAATGGTTTTGTAAACAGAGGTCAGTTTTAAAATGCCATTAGGTTTTTATTATGAGGTGTTTAAAGAAGAAAACAGATTTTCAACTTCTGAGGAACTTTTAGAGATTGTATGACAATATACAGGAATCCATGAGACAAGAATCTGCATTACTAGACCTTTTTCTACAATTTATCAAAACCATTTAACAACCTTACAATAGCATAGTACTATTGTTCATTCACAAAGGCTGCGATTCAGTTAAATAAATGCATGCCCTGCAGGTTTAATATAAATGCGGTTTAATAATTCACAACATGCGTATAGGTTATGTGCGTCCCAGAGCGGCTCTGTTCACAGTAAATGCTGCTCCACATGAACTGTTATCATTTATATGCGCTCAAACACCATCTCTGCATATGCTGTGAGTTTGGCTTGCCTATAACGTTCATCTGCGAACACAATGTGTGCCATTTCATCAGATTTGTAAGGTAAATCATTTATAAACCTACCCCAACATTCTCTAAATATGCAAACTGTTCATTACAATTTCAAGTGGCGCTGACGTCCACATATTCTTGTTCTAGAAATTACAGTGGCGGTAAAGAAGTAACTAAAAATTAAAGATTAGTGAACATTTTTTATGCGATTAAGTGAACAATTGAATCCGTCCTTGCTTAATAAAAGTATTAATTTCTTTCAAAATAAAACTAACTGTAGTATATTTCTTAAAACTAGGTTCAGCATTATCAAAATAATTCATAAAATGTCATACATCACCACAAAAAATCTAAATTTGATAATGAAATATAGTACGCAGCATAAACAAATTGCCCTTGACATAATGACAACTAATGTTTCTGGAAATTCCTCATATGATTACATCTGTATTTTATTTTAATTTGATCTAAATTAAAAATCAAATTACAATTCTGCATCCTGCCAGGAATTCAATTCACTTCTGAAAGGTGCACAACCCCGATATCACACTATTTCCATCCTGGATTATCAAAATCAAAGCACTTCATTTCCATTGTTTGTAAATAGCAACAACAGATTGCATTTAATGTGTCCTGCAGTTAACTAGGCATTGATCTCACGCTGTGAATCTGCAATATGGTCGGAGCTAATGAATGTGTCTGTGTTACAAAAGAGAAAAAAAAAATACTATATAGGAATCTTTGGAAAACATTTGTTTCCTGTAATGTGTTTTTATTTGTAGCCTCTGGGTCGCATAATTCGTGGTTTAAATAAGAAGTCACATAAAACTAACAAAGGTATTCGTTTGGGGGGTCTGAATGATAATGTATTTGTCCCTATGCTCATAACAAATGATTATGGCTGTGTTCTGCCTGTCGACCTGGAGGGGTTATTCAACACGCAGGAGCTGCAATGACACTCCTGAAGTGCTGAAAATGAAGAGATAAGTTAAAGTATGGATGAGAGGGGAATGAGTGGTAGAAAATAGATTTGTGTGACAGTTCTCCAAGTGCTGTTGAGAAAAGAAAAAAAAACGAATGTGTCTAATAGGATGCAGCTATCTCATTCTGGTTCTATATTTCGAAGTGTCTCGCACAAGTCACCTGACCTTAACCAGCTCTGAAGGTCCATTATGATACATTAATTTTATGCTTTTTCAGTGAACCAATCTGTACCTTTGTGCGATTCATCTTTGATAATGGTTTTCCATCACGTTTTAGGTAGCCGAGCTGCTGCAGAGGCTGGTCAGGAAAGACATTCACATCAGTTCATTGCAGCAGTGTATCAGCGCCCAGCAGGACGTCTCATATGATGGCACCTTCCTCTGGCGGTTGTGTGATGTCAGCCAGAGTCAGAGAGAGGCTGCCAGCGGCGTGAAGATCAGTCAGTACTCGCCAGGTACCAAAGCACATATCTCCTGCACTGCTCTTAATGGGAGAGTTCATCCAAAAATAAACATCGTCTTTGTTGACAGATACGTACTGTATGTCTTGCTTTCTTCTGTGGAACACACAAAAGAAGAAAACATTAATACATTAAAGAAGAAAACATTAATACATTTTGATTCAAAGATATATATATATATATATATATATACACACACACATACTGTATACACATTGCTTTGAATCAAAATAAACTTGATTTGGGAAATCTGTATTAATTTATATAAGTATATATTTATATATAATACTAAATATATATTATTTATATAAAATATACAAAATAAACAAAATTATATATATATATATATATATATGAAGAGCTCTTTTCCAAAACGCAGAACCCTTTCACTGCTCCATCAACGTTTCATGCCAAATCGCTATATTTCCTTGTTTAAAATGTACTGCAAGATACAGTTTCTTTCCAAATCACGATAAGCGCCAGCCCTGTTTTTAGCCTAAATGCTATAAATCCTCAAATTCAATGAGCGCTCTACACAACCCAGCACTGCGGCACTCTGAACAGAGGTTTCTGTAGCCTAGTTCTCAGGCCTGTGTGAGGCAAGCGTCGCGGTGTTTCGGTTCATATATGAGACGCGCTCCGGTTCACCTGCGTGCCTCTGTGTCCTGATTATATTATCTGATATTTACTTCTAATGTATTAATCCAGTCAATTTGTCGATGAAACATTTATTAAAATGAAGATACAATTTATATGAAACGAAATTTACAAGCTTTCTACAAAACAAAACTTGATAAGTGGTCAAAATCATGTCTGACGCACTCCAAATATTTTCCGATATTGGGCAGCTTTTGAATTTTGATCCTATCTTACTCATCTCATGCGGTTCCCTTTTCATAGCCTACTCAACATAGATGAAATAATAAAAATAAGTAATGTAATATTATTAAACACAAATGTGAAACGTAGCCTATGTTTATTTTATGTTTTTTTTTTTTTTTTTACTTATATTTAAGCGTCATGCTGCTCCGTTTTGCTCACATGTTATGTAGCCTGTGTGTGTGTGCATGTGCTGGAGGGGTGCCCATCCCTTTTTTGAATATCGTTATCATAAATTGATTATTTTTAATAATTCGTTTTTTTCATGCATATGTTGAAATTGGTACTATTTGTTTGAGTTTTGACACTTTACTAAAATGACTTTACTAAAAATGATACAAAAAAATGGATGGATTTATAGCGTTTTGGAAAAAAATAAAATTAACTTTTAAATTATCATTAACATTATTGTTGTTTGATTTAATAATTATTGTTCAAAATGTTCAGACTGAACCAATAAAACATTTAAACAGGATAATTTGAATATTCACAAAATGTGTGGGTCTAGGTAAAAAATGTAGTTTTCCTGAAAACTATTGAAATGGATTTATAGCGTTTTGGAAAAGAGCTCTTCATATATATATCATTTTGTATACATTTCTATATATAATATAAATAATATATATATAAAATATATTTCTTCTTTTGTGTGTTCTTTTAGATAAATATTATATATTTAATATTATGTATATATATTACTAAATCCATATTATTTATATATATATATATATATATATATACTATATACAAAAGGGCTGGGCAATGATTAATCACGATTAATCACATTCAAAATAAAAGTTTGTGTTTATGTAAACACAAACTTTTATTTTGGATACGATTAATCGCGATTAATTGTTGCCCAGCCCTAATACAAATATATCCAAATATATATATATACATACACATCTTTTAAATTATTTTTTATACAGTTTTATATATTATATCAATAATATTGTGTACACCGGTATATATAATGCATTTATATATAATGCGCATATATATACTGTATATATATATATATATATATATATATATATAATTTCTTTCTTTCAGTAACCACTCACCATTCAGAGTTCTTTAAGCGATATGTACATAATACTGAGCCAAATGGTAATTCCTGAGTTAGTGAGTTTTTAAATGATTCATCAAAAGAAATGGCTCAAAATAATTTGTTTATGAATCTTACTACACTGGTAGCGCTGTATGTTTTTGGTTTAATTAAAGTAATGATTTGTTCAGAGATTAGGGTGACACTATTCTTGTATATAATGAAGGTAGATGGTGACTGTGGGTTTGGGTTGTCCATATGAGCTCTGCATCATATTCCAAATCATCTGATAGATCGCGTAAGGAGCAGGCCTGCATCTACATTGGGACTGAGAAAGATCTTCCCCTGGGCCTTATTTTCCCAAGCATGTTCCATTTGCAGTTTCAGTTGACATAATCAATATATATTATTGACAATCACAGGCTCCCTCACTTCTGTGCTGAAGCAAAACAGTTTGGCCAGCACTGAATACTTTTAATGCATCAGACTGGACTCATCAGGAGAGCTGCGTTGAATGAATGTTAGTTGTTATTGTGTATTGAGGTAGAATCGATGCTCATTCTTTAGACCAGTGCTAAAAATTAAATTGGTACCTGGGAAAGGCAAAGCAAAAAAAAAAAACAAACAAACAAATGTGGAGCAGTTATAAAGACTGAAATGGGGTTGTTTGCCCAATGGGCATGTGTCTGTGTGAACACAACTGTAATAGACAGGAAGTCTGAGAAAGAGAAAGACTGAAAGAGAACAACTGAAGGTAATTTAATTGACTTGTTTTCTTTCACGTCATTACAGAATAGGATATCAGAATAACTGCTCCGCCAATACAACAGTCAGCAAAAGGAAGCCACTCGTTTGATTTTTGAGATGAAGAAAGCTCTCTGGTTATCTGCTGCTATTTTTAAGAGTTTTAACTAAAGCCCATCACGCTGCACATAAAAATGACAGTGCTTTGTTTTTCAGCTTTCTACACTGCCAGGTATGGATTTAAAGTGTGCATGCGCCTCTATTTGAACGGAGATGGGGTTGGAAAGGGAACGCACATCTCTCTTTTCTTTGTTATAATGAAAGGAGAATATGACCCCATTCTCTCATGGCCGTTCAGACACAAGGTAAACCGCTATAATCAAGCTGTCAATCAATGAATTAATCAATCGCTTAATGCACTTATGTGTTGTTTTTGCTGAATTCATACAATATTATGCTCATTGCTGGTTAGTTCGATCACAAGAGTTTATAAGAATGAATCCAAATTGAACCAGTCCCTGCATTAATCTTAATAGCTGGCTTTTTATTATTTTTTTAGTACAAAAACAAAACTACCAAAAAATATTCCCTAGATTATCTTTTAGATTACAAAAGCTTTTTTTATCTAGATCCAAACGCAGCATTGTTATTGTTAGCTAAAATTAAACTATTAAACGTTGTTTTTGTTCATTGAAACAGTAGACTTAGAAATAAAATAAGTGTAAGTTAAAATACTAAAATTGCTAAAACGGAAATAAAAATATGACAATCACACAAAAAAACGGAAAATATAAAAATTAAAGATTATTCATAAATACTATAATAGTATATTATTACAAAATGTAAAGTTCAGGGAAGGAGGCAGGAACTAGAGTAGGGCTGGGTACCAATTTCGGTACTTTCAAGTATCGAGTATTGAAACATGTCTTGTTTTTCGGTACCCAAGTGGTTAATCTCGTCAACGTCAGTGAAACAATAAGCATGCAGCTTGATTAGCTGTGACAGAAAAAACTAGTTTACTCGGCTGCCCAGAGACGTAGCTCGTCGCACGTGAGGCTGTAGTGTGAGTGTGCTTCAAACACTCTATGGCGTGTGCGTGTAAAGCCTAGTTCACACTACGTGATTTTAAGCCCGATTTAAGCCCGATTTGCAAATCGTTGAGTCGCCGACAAGTCAGGGTGTTATCGCGTGCAAATCGCGGGCGATTAGCGGACGATTAACGCTCGCCAATCAGTTAGTGTGAAAGAGCCAACAACGCATCAAAGACAGCTCGCAGACAGGTCACCGAGCTCAGAAAAATATCTAGCATGCTAGATATCTCGCCCAGTCGCGCGACTCAATCTCAGTGATGTCATGAGTACAGCCAATCATAGCAACGCATGGGTTGAGGACACCAGGTAAATCTTACTTTTTCTTTTTTGCATTTTTTTTCTCAGAGCAGATCGTCGAGCAAACAGTGTGCAGCACTAGTTTCTGTCTGACGTCCATATTCGCGTGTTGTGTTCTTCTCTGCAGTTTCGCGTCATTTCTGGTTCGTTTTATTGCGTGGTTTTTCGTTACAAAACATGGTTTCTAGACCAGATAGAATCGTGTTGTTGTCAACTCGTTATTTGTTTGATTATTTTCAGGATTTAGACCGTATTATAGTACTGAAACAGCTCTCATTGAGTCACAAATGATATGCTATATCATCCGATCGTGGTTGTATCTCTATGCAGTGCGTTGTTAACTCGTGTAGTGAGTTACCTCCTGTTGTGGATCAATCACGTTGTGTTGTGTGGTGTGAACAGCTAAACAACTTGAATACTCATGATTTCACTGAGAGCAAGTCATGTAGTGTGAACTGCACAGTTCAGCCCGACATTTTAAAATCATGTAGTGTGAACTAGGCTTAAGCGTCCCAAACCAGATAGATAGAAAATATGTGGAAATGATCTAAAGTGTACCTATGTGCCAGACTCGATGCCAGAAGCACGCGATGCAATATTTTCGACAAGATAATTGCCTTTAAAAGTCTGATAATCACACAGACACTAGAGAGTAGAAAGTTTAACTAACGTTATGCATTTTCGATTGCAAGAACTGGAGCGCGTCACAAATAAAACCGATACCCAGCGCTACTAGTGAGTGATTAATGTAAAGTTTAATCATTAAATAAACATCAAACGGCTGCTGCATGCATAATAAAACACAACATGAAGACCAGGCCAGGTCCTCTCTCATCTTGCACTGTCGTCACTCCTGCTTTTATCCTTCCTTGAGACCGGTGTGGCGCAGGTGATGCCCATTAGCGTTCCGTTCCCACGGCTCTCGGCCCCGCCCTGCTTGCCACATACAGTACTGTGCAAAAGTCTGAGGAACGTTAGTATTTTCACCCCCCAAAAATGTTTTTAAGCCAGTTATTCGCATCTTTTGCTGTAGTGTGTCAGTAGGAAATATCAGTTTGCATTTCCAAACATTCCTTTTGTCATTAATTGTAATAATCCAGTGTGATTTCTGTATGCACAAGGAGTCGGACAACAGACAAATCCACACGGAGATCTGATCTCACCATCATCCGCTGTCTGGGATTACATGAAGAAACAGAAGAAATTGAGACAGACTAAATCCAGAAGTACTGTGGCTACATCTCTAAAATCCATTTCTTCATGTAATCCCAGATGGACTCGATGATGGGGAGATCAGATCTCAGATACCAGCTGCCGTCAGACTCCTTGTGCAAACAAAAATCTTACTGGATTATTACAATAAATGGCAAAAGGAATGTTTGGATATGTAAACTGATATTTCCAACTGACACACAACAACCATGTTTTTCTGGTGAAAATCCTAACGTGTCTTAGACTTTTGTGCAAATACATAGTATACTGTATATAGTGAATACTAAAATAACTGTCCATAAACCAAACAAATCTATTAAAATACTGTCCTCCTTCTGTTTTGTAGTGATTGTAATTGTAAAATGAGCATCATTATGAACACTGTGAGCACTGAAGTGCATTAATGTCTCATGTGTGCATGTTTAGTACACCGAACTGCCATTCTGGTTTATAGGTAATACTTGTTGGGTCAAATTATTATTGTAATTTTACCAGTTTGACAGCACATTGTAGGATAAATTGCTTTTTCTGCTATTGAATGATGGGCCAGTTCAAAATTTCACATTGAAGATAAAATTTTTAATGGCCTGAAATTTCTTAAAGGGTAAGAGAGAGTGGAAAGGGCTCATGAAAAACTAAATTAAACTGTTTATGGTGCAAAAAACGTTAGTAAGTGCACTTCAGGACAAAGAATGAAATAATAAATGGATGATATGACCCCTTTAATAGTGGCTTCTGCTTTGGTTCCTCAATCATGTGGCATCAGCATTTTCCATGACCTTCCACTGACTTCTCCTGCATACTGGCAGGTAACGTTCTTTTTCATAGACCAAAACCAGAGGGAGCACGTCATCGACGCTTTCCGTCCCGACCTCTCCTCTGCCTCTTTCCACCGGCCCGTCTCAGAGATGAATGTGGCCAGCGGGTGCCCCCTCTTCTTTCCTCTGGGGAAATTGAGGTCGCCTAAGCACGCCTACTGCAAGGATGACACAATCTATATCAAGTGTGTGGTGGACATCTCCTCCTGAACCATGAAGGCTTGAAAAGAAAGACCTTGGGGATCTCAGAGAGGATTTGGATCAAATGAATATGGAGTGCAGAGAAATGACAAACCTAGAAATATTCATGAACTCGGTTGCATTTTGGTACATGGATAAAAGATTAGTTTAAAATCTTTAAAAAAAGAAATTCTTTTTTGTGTTATTTTGTATATTTTTATTTTTTTTTAATTTATTATGGAGCGAAATCTTGATTTTGATTATCATATTGACATGTGTTATTGCATATGTTGTAAAAAAGTAAAATTTGTTTATCTTGTTTTTGTGTTTCATTTTTCGAATTAGGAAGACAACGTTGTCAAAATGATACCGTTCACACGGATATTTAGACTGAACATGTAATTTGCATGCGTGAGACGTCACTGTTTTCACAATTCACGTTTTTGTAGGTTGTATGGAGATGATAACAGTATTGTTTTTAAAAACCTGCACTTTGAAACCCGTTTTCAGAACCCGAAACGCATAAAATGTGTTCCATTTTTAGTTCCATTTTAGTTAAGTGTTGTGTAAGCGGCCCTTATGATAGAATGAATTACTTGGTGTTTTATCTGCATGCATGCAAAATTTCATACAATCAATATTATTGGCATTTAACATTTAATTATTATTAGATACTATTATTAGTTTTAATTTTTATATGTTCTGTTTTCATTCTAATTTTAGGGGGCGTTTACAACACTGTTTTCAACTAAAACTGGAATTTTTTATATGATTTGGCCAAACACAACAACAGGTGTTTGTGGGCTTGAAAATGCAAACTTTTGAAAACGGGTTTCAAAGTGCAAGAATTATAGCGATATAACAATAACCATAATGATTACAGTGTCCACACCAACTTACAATATCGTTGTGTTTATTCTAAGCACGCACTGCTGTTAGTGCCCATCTCGTTAAAGCAGGATTGATTCTGATTGACTGTCAATGTTTTTATCATTCATCAGTTGGAGAAAAAAAAAAATGATGTAAGTGATTCCGACAATATATTTTCTCTGTGCCTTTATCGTTATAGTTGTGGTCTGGACTATTCTATATTTAGATCAATTTAAATAACTATATCGTTATAGTCTCTGTGTACACTACAAAACGGGAATATTACATGTTCAGTCTATTGTAGATTTTTCTTGGATCTGTGTGAACGGGATCGTTTGGACAACATTGCCGTCTGTTTTCGATTTTTTTATTTTTTTTATTTTAATATATATATGTTCTAAATATTTATTCCAGTTTTAGCTATTTTACTGCATCAAGTCAAAATGTAAATGTGAAATGTCTTGGCAAACTAACTGAAATTTGGCCCTCTAGCGGTTAAAAACATCACTGCATGCACATTTTGCACATGCACAAGAACTTATGTCACTTCACACCATATATGCATTAAAGTAGTTGGAGCCACTTTTCTCTATTTACCAAAATTTAAACACGTATAATAGGTTTACCATAGTGAATCAGGGTAAGACAAAAACATATTTTGGAAGAAGGATTGATTTATTGACTCGTTACTTAGCCTACTCGTTACAAAGTTGGTGTCGTAATAACCCTGAATAAAAGGCCTTACTTGTTGCAGACCCATTAGGTCCCACTTTATATTAAGTGGCTTTAAGTATGTATTACATCGAAACATTGTACTTGTTGTATTGTAAAACACTTTTGCTGCTGTTGAGTAGGTGGGTCAATAAATTAATTACAGCTGTAATTACATGCAGGTATTTTCAAAATAAAAGTACAAAAAATGTGTATGTACACAATAAGTCCATTGTATCAAATGATTAATTTCAATGTAGGTACAAAAAGCGATTTAAAGTGGGACCAATCATGATAACATTTATTTCGTACATTGAATAGCATCAACTCAAGTAGGAGATCCATTCAAACTTGTGTAGCATGCATCCTTATCAAATATAGCGTTGGCTAGTATCAGATTAGCACATGAATAGACATGAATTTTACATTTATTTAGTATTTTATTTTCAATGTATTTTTTCTCACCAAATGCAGTGGCTGTACTGTGCAAAATCACCCCGTTTACTTGAAAGATTCTATAAAATATTTGTTGCTGTAGCAATTTTTTTTTTTTTTTCTTGTTATGTTTCATGTTAACACTTACAGGAATGTGTGCAAAAAAATCAACCTCGTCCTGCTGGTAAGCACTTTTTAAAAGTCCTGAAAGTAGCTGTTAGAACCCAACTTTGGAGAGAAACTATAAACACAATCAATTGTTCACAAAATCAAAGAAAAGAACAGGTGGTTTCTCAAAGTGATTACTGCACTTGAGAAGGGTTCGACACATGTACAAATCAACACTGCATCAAAAAACTCTCTCTTGGTATTCAGCAGTCCCAGAGATAGCATTCTTAGTTTTGTTTTGCGATCCATCCAAAAAAAAAAAAAAAAAAATGTCATTCAGTCAGCTCACCGTGACCCTGTGATGTCTGCCTGAATCACAATGTCCAAATTTCACAGAAATCTAAGAATATACTTATGCCAGCAAATACAAGCCATGTGTTAAAAATGTAACTGCAGTGTGACAGTTGCACTCGCACTGCCAGCAAACCTTTACTAATGCCAAGGGCATTTATGCTGACTCTCTCTGACACATCTCTCACATCCACACGTCAAAATAAAACTATTACACGTTATAATAACTTCTATAGATTACATTAACAAACATATCATGCTCAAAATGTCAATTATGCAGATTCATCTGTCTGTATAACTTTGCATTAACCTATATAACAACTAATGTAAATCTAAAATAAAAATACATGAAATATATCTATAACTTCACGTAACTATAATTTACTATCATCTATCTATCCATCTATATAACTTTATATAACTATAATTTTTATATATTTTAAAATATAAAAATAAACACATGATATCTATCTCTTTATATAATTATCTATCTATCTAGATATCTATCTATATGTCTGTCTATCTGTCTGTCTATTTATCTGTCTATCTATCTGTCTATCTATCTATATGTCTGTATGTCTATCTATCTATCTATCTATCTATCTATCTATCTATCTATCTGAGCACATTTTTGTAATGTCTTTATTTAGTCATTGGATCAGAGCTTCTGTAGCCCTATCTGTCTCTGTCTGTCTATTTATCTGTCTGTCTGTCTATCTGTCTGCCTATCTATCTATCTATATATCTATCTATCTATCTATCTGTCTGTCTGTCTGTCTATCTGTCTGTCTGTCTGTCTGTCTGTCTGTCTGTCTGTCTGTCTGTCTGCCTATCTATCTATCTATCTATCTATCTATCTATCTATCTATCTATCTATCTATCTATCTATCTATCTATCTATCTATCTATCTGAGCACATTTTTGTAATGTCTTTATTTAGTCATTGGATCAGAGCTTCTGTAGCCCTATCTGTCTCTGTCTGTCTATTTATCTGTCTGTCTGTCTATCTGTCTGCCTATCTATCTATCTATCTATCTATATATCTATCTATCTATCTATCTATCTATCTATCTATCTATCTGTCTGTCTATCTGTCTGTCTGTCTGTCTGTCTGTCTGTCTGTCTGCCTATCTATCTATCTATCTATCTATCTATCTGAGCACATTTTTGTAATGTCTTTATTTAGTCATTGGATCAGAGCTTCTGTAGCCCTATCTGTCTCTGTCTGTCTATTTATCTGTCTGTCTGTCTGTCTGTCTGCCTATCTATCTATCTATCTATCTATCTATCGATCTATGTTGTCCTATTAGAGCATTTTTGTAATGTCTTTATTTAGTCATTGGATCAGAGCTTCTGTAGCCCTGTCTGTCTGTCTGTCTGTCTGTCTGTCTATCTATCTATCTATCTATCTATCTGTCTGTCTGTCTGTCTGTCTATCTATCTATCTATCTATCTATCCTATTAGAGCACATTTTTGTAATGTCTTTATTTAGTCATTGGATCAGAGCTTCTGTAGCCCTGTCTATCTATCTATCTATCTATCTATCTATCTATCTATCTATCTATCTATCTATCTATCTATCTATCTATCTATCTGTCTATCTATCTGTCTATCTATCCATCCTATTAGAGCACATTTTTGTAATGTCTTTATTTAGTCATTGGATCAGAGCTTCTGTAGCCCCTCCTCGAGACCGCTGCTGTACTTCCTGTACGCGGATGATGATGATGATCGGGTTATGTTAATTACATAAGCAAAACGTAAAAGCTTCGCGGGAAAAGGTGAAAAAATGGCGACGTGCACTGACTGCATTTCTGCGCCGCTTGTGCTGTAAAAACACCAGAAACTTACTCTTAAACGTCGCGAATGGGACATCGGGCTGCCAGAGGAGGAATATCTGCACTTTTTGGCGCGTTTTACCCGCGGGACCGGAGAGAAATCAAAGCGGTAATCTCAGCGCGAGATGTGTTTGAATGTGACCCGATTCAAAATTTGCAGCATTAGTGCATTAACAGTAACAGCGGTAGTGCTCCGGCGAACTTATTCATGCATATGAAAGAGTAATGCTGCGTTTTGGTGCATGTTGTGTTTGATTACAGCCAGCATGACAACTTGTCTGAGTCAGAGAAGTTTTAGCAGTGCGCAAGTTTTCCAGCATGCACTGATGATGTTGCATGTCTTCAAACGGGGAGGGAGTCAGTGCTGAGCAAAGATTCGCATATATGATTCATTAGCTACGCAACTGAACTACTAGACTTTTTAGAAGTCGGCATGGCTGTTGTTTAAGCAGGCGTGCATGCTTTTAAAGTTGATGCAATAGTTTTCTGTCACACAGAGAAAAGGCACGCATGTTTTATTCTTTTACAGTTATAGCACGCTTGCAGATTGTGTGATTCTTGGCCGGCTGGTTTCGATTGATTTGACTATTTGAAGAAAACTGGCCGAGATCAGTAAGTCTGAAGTTCACATCCTGACGATGAGTCAACCAGCTCAGTTTCTGTGCTGCCTTTTTAACTCATCAGGGTTGAGACTGAGTCAGGCAATATTCCCCATGTGCACAGTTGTGGTTGGGCGAATCTTTTTTGCAGTTCTACAGAATTCCTGCAGGTTGTCATAACCATCGAGTACACTTCACTTACCTGCTGTACACTAGGCTACATACTTGCACATTTTGAGTGATTCCCAACCAGGGGGTTTTGAAAATGCTTAACTTTGTTGGTCCTGCAAAGCAATTAAAGCTTTAAAAGTCTTTAAACGTACTATTTACTTAATATAACTAATAAATAAAAAAAATGGTTTTAATGTGGTCCGCTTTTGGATAACGTGTTTTTCACCCCACAGTAT